AACAGACTTCTCCTGACCTTCCCATTCAGTCACAAAAAGTGCCAGTGAGTCATTAGTTATGCTGTGACAATGTGAGATCAGGTCCATCTGAACCCTGCTTTAGTCACCAGCCTTGTGATATATCTGAAAGATTGAGGAGTCATGACTGATGACATCCTGTTGATGACATACATACATGCATGCCTATTTTTGGATACAAGACAGGGAGCTATTCTCTGGCCCTTGTTGTTGTTGTGACTTCAAGTTGTTTCTGACCTATGGCAACCCTAAGGCAACCCTGTTGTGCGGCTTTCCTGGCAAGATTTGTTCAGTGGGGATTTCCCTTTGCCTTTCTCTCAGGCTAATAGAGTGTGACTTGCCTAAGGTCACCCAGTGGGATTCAAACCCTGGTCATTGTCCGGCACTCAAACCACTACACCACACTTGCTCTCTCTTACCCTTGTGCTCCATCCCAAAACCTCACCTCACAACAGCTACCAAGCCCTAGGAGGGGCTGCAGCTGCTGTTTCTTAGATGTGGAAAGGGAGGGAGAAGAGAGGCAATTCAGAGATCATGAAGATACAGTCAGCACTCCATATCCACAAATTCCATAGAGTTCAGCATGCACTACTTAGACTTCCCCTGATAGAACAAGTGAACAGCATGGGAGAACCCCTAGAATGTTCTCATTCAGCACAGACCCAAGGGGACTCTGTGGCTCAGAGTACTTTGCCAGCTTTCTTTGTTTCTCTGCAGGGTGGAATGTACATATTTTCATTTTAATTGGATATAAATATATATATATATTGTTCTTAGCTATTTCTATATATATATATATATATATATATTTGTTATTTCTACCAGCCTCATGAAAGCCAGAGTGGCATAGTGGTTTGAGTGTCGGATTGTGACTGTGGAGACCACGTTTTGAATCCCCACTGAGCCATGAAACCCATTGCATAACCTAGGGCAAGTCACAATTTCCAAGCCTCAGAGAATGGCAATGGCAAGCCTCCTCTGAAAAAAGCTTGCCAAGACACCCTGTGGTAGGTTCTTCTTAGGGAAACCAGGTTCACTCAGTGAAGACCTCCAAATGTCTGGCTTTGGAATTTGGAAAGACACAAATCAGTAATTGAGGGAATGGTACAGAAGGTTCACTTTTGCCTGTTGCCTTCCTCCAGGAGATGGAAGATTTCCAAGGCCAAGATATACTGCCTCAGCTCTTCATTCTGATGGTCTGAGAACTGCTCCTGAGAGCCTAGATCAGGTAAGGGGCAGGATGTCTGGAGAGGGCAGCTGGGATGATACTGGCCATTCTTCTCCAGGAACTGGAAGCATTTTCTCTTTTTTTTTTTTTTCTTTTCCTTTCCTTCCATCAGAATTGCTTGTCATGGCA